AGCTGATTTCTGATTTATAAATTAAGCTTTTCTTGCCCACTCAAAGAATAAGTTGATTTCTGACTTACAAAAAGCTATAAGCTGTATTGTTAAGCTAAACCAAACACATCAAAATAACTTAAATTAAGCTGAAAGCTGAAATAAGCTGAAATTAAGCTGTACCAAACAGGACCTACGTATAGTCTAAACTGGATGTGCAAGTACTTTAATAGTTGAATTCTCATGGTAGACCCCAGCCCGTTTATTGGCCAAAGCCTTACCTGAATTCTGTTAACTCTAAGTTAGACCTCTACCCGGTCTTATTATGTTGTGGGTGGATTTCGGGGTGCAAATTGGACGGACTCAACCTGAGCAATCCGAGCTTAGTTTAATTCTTTTTGGGCCTTGGGCAAAATATTTTGAAATTTGGTACGGATTTAGACAAAAATTTATAAGCCCGAATTAAATTTGGACGGATTTAGGGAAATACATCAAACAACCCAACAATCCGAAACCCAAATTATATATATAAATATATAAAAATATTAAATATACATATGAATTATAACCATTAAATAATATTAAAGTAATTTTGATCGTTAGGTCATATTGAATAAATATTATATACAAAAGTAACATAACACAAAATCTTTTTTTTTTTTCGCACTCATAAATTATAAAAACTACCATAATAGGATTTCTTTATATTATATAAATTATTTATTTTGATATTATTAATAATTTTATAAGAAAAATGTGAATAAATTCTAATTTGAACAAATTAATTAACTTAGCTGCACATACAAAAAAAAAAAAAAATTATGCACAATTTGGGTGACTAACAATATGGGTTTAATTCAGGCCGGACTTTGACAAAGAACCTCATGTTACAATTTGGGCTTGGACAGGTCTGGCCAACTCTCAGTACAACTTAGACAACCTCTCGACCTGCTCGAATTGTACTCTTAAGTAGATCCTTAGCAATTTTTTTTTTCATTTTTTCCCTTATGGATTTTGATATTCTTAATTTGGAGTTTGAGACTTTTCAAGGATAGAAGGGTGTTGAAAACTTGGTAGCCCAACTTCCTAATTTTCTTCCCAAATTTGTTGATTTGAGAAAATTTGTGCTGCATACTTGAAGGAGTCGGTTAGTAAAACGTAGCCCCATGTTCAGCCTAATTTGGTTATCCCAAATCCAACCCTAAACAAACTTCATATCGGAATCACATTCTTCAAATCTTGAACAAATCTTGCTGTAGTCGAATGGGCTGTAATTTGGACCTTCATATCGAATGGGCTATATCGTTTTTTGCTATAGTCAAATGGGCTATTTGGACCTTCATATCGGAGTCGGTTAGTAAGGCCAGCCCGCTGTATTAATGTGTTATGGGCTGTAATTTGGACCTTTGAACAAATCTTGCTATAGTCAAATTTCACTATGTTTGATTTCAATTTTCTGAATTTAATTTTTTGAAAATTGAGTTTTTTATTTTTTGTATTTTTTTTTGTTTTTAGTGAATATTTTTAAAATTTTAAGCAATTTTTATTTATTATTTTTTAGATGCATCTTACTTAGATGTATCTAAAAAGTAAAATACTATAAAAAAATATTTTTAAAAATCAATAAATATATAAGAATATGAAAAATATATTGAATTTTCGTATTTTTTTAATTTAGTGAATTTTTTGAAGATTTTTTTTCACAAATATTATAATTTTTCAATGTATTTATGTTAGATGTTTCTAAAAATTAAAAAAAAAATGCTTGGAATATTAAAAAAAAATTAGTGAAAATTAAAAAAACACGAAAAATTAAAAAATTTAATTTTCTAAAAAGTGAATCCTAACAACGCAAACCAAAAAAGCTGATTACTACTTAAAACATCACATTGTCTAAAAGTTCAAATCCAAATTACTAAAGCATCATATAGTTCTAATTTCACAACCTTAAAACAATAAAAAAAACTAATCATAGCACAAAGAACATTCCAACTCCATAAAATTCTGACATGCACATAAGTTGTCTTTCTTCGACAGTCTCACAATAACACCTGTAGAAAACATACGAAGAAATTCTTGAACATGGTAGAGAATAAACAAATTAAGGGATATTTTTTTTTTTTTAAAAAAAATTCACTAAAGGAGAAAGGGTAGAAGGGCTCACCCCTCAATCCTCACTCATACAACACAAGTAACATAAAAAAAACATAGGGGAAATACAAATAAAATAAAAGGAAAAGGTTTTGTTAAATTTTGTCCAGGTCAGTGTCCACCCTTTGAACACAGGCATGGGGATTGTAAGGGCTTAACTCAGTCCCAAAAAAGCCTCCAAGTCATATGTTTTATCTCTCTCTGAATATGAAAAAGAAAAAGAAATAACAATCACTTTGCTTAGTTCTATTTTTTTAAAAATACTTTTTAGAAAATTCTACTTTCTTGTTTTTCTTGTTTTTTTGTTTTTACTGATTTTTTTAATATTTTAAGCAATTTTGTTTTACATTTTAGACATACATAACATAAATATACCTAAAAAGTAAAAAAATTGTGAAAAAAACTTTTTAAAAATTCACTAATTACCAAAAATACAAAAAAAAAAAAAGAAGGAGAATTTAGTACATTTTTTTTGTATTTTTATGTATTTATTAATTTTTTAAAATATTTTTTCACAAATTTTTTACTTTTTAGATACATCTAATTAATTTTTTTAAAATATTTTTTCACAAATTTTTTACTTTTTAGATACATCTAAGTAAGGTGCATCTAAAAAAGTAAAAAAAAAATGTTTCAAATTTTAAAAATATTCACTAAAAATAAAAAAAATACGAAAGCCAAAAAATTCAGTTTTCAGAAAACTTAATCCAAAAAACTTAAACCAAACACACTGAATGTTTTTAAAAAAATAGAAGAATTATAGTAACAGTTCTTGTAGTTTGGAACTTATGCCACTTTAGTTCTTAACTTTTCAATTGTGATATATTTTACCTTAAATTTTGAATCTTGTTCCAAATAAGAATAATAAAAAATATTTCATTTGCAAATGGTCCATTTTAAGGATAAAGTCAGCATACAATTTATTTTGTGTTGGTTAACTTGTATGTTGTTTGAAATGTAATGGCCTTTTTTAAATGAATAATGTTGGCACTTTCTTGGTTAGAAAATTCTGTTTAGTTTAATTTTCAGAATCTATTTTCAGAAAATTTTTCTAAGAACTAAAAATTAAATTGCTGAAAAAAATTAAAAGCACATCATTTTTATATAATTTTATCTTTTGGAAGGGAAGAAATAATTTTTTAGATTTAAATTTTTATTTATTTATTTTCGTTAAATAAGTTTTTATTTTTTTAAAAGTCAAACATGGCAACAACTTAGATGTCATTATTAAACCAATCCATTAAATCAAAAAAATTCAAAACTAAAAACCTTTCATACATTAAATATATCGATTTACACATTAAAACCCTAATAACCTTCCCTTACATTATGACCATCCAAAAATATTTGTTGACAACAAAAATAACCATCTATTACATGATAACTGTCCAAAAACATCAACAAAAACCATTACCCATTACATGATCATCATTCGAATGCATACTAAAAATTAATTTGGTAAAAAAATAAAAATATAAAAATGTAAAAGATTTATTATTTTTATATAATTTTTATCTTTGGTGCGTAATTTTTTTTTTTAAAAATTCAAAATTGACTTTTTGACATTTATTTTTGTCAAATTAATATATATTTTATCAAATTGACAAATTTGCCTTTGAAATGAAGTATTTTTTGTTTGCAAAGAAAACGGGATCTTCAATTGTTCTTGTTTGAAACGAGATTCAAAACTAAGAATCAAATGTATCACAATTAAAAAATCATAAACCAAAGTAACACAAATCCTAAATTACAGAAACCATTAGTATAATTCAACCCAAAAAATACATGATGCTTGCTAGAATTTTTCTAATCCTACCTTATATTCACATGATTCATGTAATATTTTAAATGATGGCATACTTTTAGTGTTTTTTTTTTTTGGGGAGGAGGGCGCATAACATCAACCCGTCCAACATTGTTTGTTGTTTATGTGAAACGAAATACATATAGTAGTATTGCCATGAAGTTAGAGATTCTCTATATCCAAAAATCTCATGATCCCTATACTTCATGAACAATCAATCATATGATATGCCAAGAATCTCAAAATATAGAAAATTCATGACACGTTTATGCGATTGAGAGTGCTTTTAATACATGGGAATGGAAATTTTGGGTAAGATGATCTATGTGATTCTATAAGTAGAAGCTAGAGTACACAATTCATCCAAAAATATATCATGAAAGCATTATACATAAATAATTCAATAAGTTTAGAAACGTACCCCAAAGGAAATAACTGGTGAAGCAAATGCCTAATCAACTTCAATTTCCATGTCCCCTCCTTTTCTCCCTTCTCAGCTTGCGCTGTTTCCTTCCAAAATTCTCGATGAACCATTCGTGATACCTTGTGGTTATTGTGTGCCCAATAACCATCCCGACTACTATCCCACTCACATATCCCGTGCATATGAAAATCCAATCAACTTTACTTGGGAACGCTGAATCATTATCATGTTCCGAGTTCAATGGTGGTGGTGCCTCTAACTTTCCACATTTCCTTGATAAAGGGTCTCCGCACAATCCTGAATTCCCCTCGTAGGAATTGTTCTCAAATGTGTTGAATTGCTGCCCATGTGGAATGGGTCCAGTGAGATGGTTATTTGAGACATTTAAAAATTCAAGGAAAGTGAGAAGTGCTAGTTGCTACGGGATTTCTCCCGAGAGCTTGTTTTGAGAAAGGTCCAAAGATTCAAGGTTTGTTAGGTTCCCCAAGCATGATGGGATTCCACCATTAAGGTCATTGTTGGAAAGGTTGAGCAATTGAATCCCCTTAAGGTTTCCAATAAATTCTGGAATCTCCCCTTCAAATTTGTTGCTTGAGAGATCAATGGCAGTGAAGATATTCGGGATCTCCTGATATTCTGTATTTACACCTTTGTTTGTAATGTTCGTTGTGTACCCATAGCCTTCACTCCAACTGTCATTGTTCCTGCGAACTTCAATGATTGTCTTCATATATTCCATCTTGTTGACATCAAAAAATTTCATTGCATTCCAATTTTGAAAGTATTTTGATGGCAAATCACCTGTAAAACCATTATGAGAGAGGTCAATGATGTGCAAATTTGGTAACTCCAACTTAATTTTGGGATTCTCTATTGCACCATAAAATTTGTTGGATCGCAAGATGAGAACCTGTAACTTTGTAAGATCTCCTAACCACAAGGGGAATGCATCGTCAATCAGATTATTTGAGAGATCAAGAAACTCAAGCTCGGTACAATTTGCCAATGATCCTGGCACCTTCCCCTGTAATTTATTATCACTCAAGTCAATCATCTTCAATTTGCTTCCTCTATTGTATGAGTGAGGAATGGGACCCTGAAAGTTGTTGCCTTGGAGATTTAGAACTTCCAAAGAATCACTGAAGTTACTCAAACATGGAAGAATAGTTCCAGTCAAGTTGTTGTTAGACAAATCAAGAAAATGAAGAGAACTCAATCGACAGATCAATGGTGGAAGTTCTCCGGTCAATCCGTTATATGCGACTCTATAAGAGCCAGTGGATAATGGTGGAATTGGCAGTGGTCCTTGTAGCATGTTATAAGAAAGGTCTAAGTCGAGTAAATTATACCATGGAAGGATATCTGGATGTTGCTCAAAGCCTGTTAGAAAGTTATTCCGAAGACGTATCAACGATAGAGTTTCTACACTTACATTCAACATCCATGCCGGAATTAACTTTCAAAGAATCACTGAAGTTACTCAAACATGGAAGAATAGTTCCAGTCAAGTTGTTGTTAGACAAATCAAGAAAATGAAGAGAACTCAATCGACAGATCAATGGTGGAAGTTCTCCGGTCAATCCGTTATATGCGACTCTATAAGAGCCAGTGGATAATGGTGGAATTGGCAGTGGTCCTTGTAGCATGTTATAAGAAAGGTCTAAGTCGAGTAAATTATACCATGGAAGGATATCTGGATGTTGCTCAAAGCCTGTTAGAAAGTTATTCCGAAGACGTATCAACGATAGAGTTTCTACACTTATATTCAACATCCATGCCGGAATTTCGCCATGAATTTTGTTTTCAGCAAGAGATAAAACTTCTAGTTTGTCTTGGAAGCGCAAGAAATTTGGGAATTCCCTCAAGTTGCATGAATTTAACTCTAATTAACTCTAACACCTTTAATTTTTTAAGACTGTTATTTGAAGTTTTTTTGGTTAGAACTGTTAATTTGTTACCAGACAAATCGAGAGAAGTAAGATTTTTGAGCATCAGAAAAATTTCAAGTTCCAAGCTGCCGAGGTTATTGAAAGAAAGATCTAGAATTTCAAGATTCTTTAGCTCAAAGAATGACCTTGGGATTGGGCTTCGCAATTGATTAGTTGAAAGATCTAGCGAAATTAGATGGGTTAGGTTGGTTATATGAGATGTTATTTCACCACTTAAAAGATTGGAGGACAGGTCTAAATAAGTAAGTTGAGTTAGGTTTGAAAGAACTGATGGGATCGAACCGTATAGATCGTCCCTAAGCTCCAAGTCAGTGAGCTCAGTTAGCTTACCAAGTATTTGTAGAGTCCCTACATTAAACTTGTTGGATGAAAGCGACACGTAATTGAGTTGGGTCAAATTACCGAGTGAAGCTGGAAGGGACCCTGAGAAATAGTAGCCAGAGAAATTTAATTGATTCAGGAAATTAAGATTTCCAATCGAATCCGGTAGCTTCCCCGAAAAGCTGGTGTAAGAAAGCATCAACTGCTGAAGGGGGCTACTTGGATGAAATTCGGGCAAATGGCCAGTGAGATATCCATTGAAACTTACATCAAGAACTTGAAGGTTTGGTAGATAAAATAGAAAGCGACACGTAATTGAGTTGGGTCAAATTACCGAGTGAAGCTGGAAGGGACCCTGAGAAATAGCAGCCAGAGAAATCTAATTGATTCAAGAAATTAAGATTTCCAATCGAATCCGGTAGCTTCCCCGAAAAACTAGTCTGAAAAAGCATCAACTGCTGAAGGGGGCTACTTGGGTGAAATTCGGGCAAATGGCCAGTGAGATATCTATTGGAACCTACATCAAGAACTTGAAGGTTTGGTAGATAAAATATGCTTATTGGAAACTCACCACGCAACCCACAATTTTCTAGAACGAGAGTTGTCAAGGAAGTTAAGTTGGCCAATGTATCAAGTACTTCGGAAGATATGCTCACGTAATTGAGAAGAAGCACTTTGAGGTTAGTCAAGTTTTGAAGTGGGCTTCTGAGACCAAGCTTTTCAAGTTTCAGTAGTCCAAATGATGAGTCCTCATTGTAAGAAAGATCAATGGAAACCAATTTGGATAATTTTGAGATTTCCAAAGGGATTTGACCGGAAAATACAGAGGAGGAAAGGTTGAGACTTATTAGTTCCGAGAGATGGCTAATTTCTGTTGGAATGTGAGAGTAATCGAAATCATTATTAGCAAGGTTAAGTCGCTGAAGGTGAACTAGGCTGAAGAGGCTGCTGCTTGAATTGATAGAACCGTGGAGGAAACTGCTGCTGAGGTCAAGGCCAATCACATGACCCGTATCCTCATCGCATTCGACGCCATCCCATGAGCAGCAATCGCCACTCTCTCCTTGGAGCTTCCATGATGCAACCTTGGGATAAGAAGAAGGATCACTAGAAGCGGATTTGACAATTGAAAAGGTTTGCTTGAATTGCAACAGGGCGGAGCTCTCGTGTGCATGGCATAGTGGCTGCTCAGCAGACAAAGAGCTAGCCATTATTATTATAAGATGAAAGCGAGAGAGTGATAAGAAGAGTAAATGCATGAACAGAAAGAGATGCAAAGAGGAACCCATATTCAGTTAACTTGATTTCTCTAAGCACTCTTGGATGAAAGAAAGACAATGCTAACATGGAGCTTTTTATAGACAAGATTTTGAGTGTTGGATTGGATATGCCAAAGATCTTTGTCTATAAAATAGATTACAAAATCATGGAAATAGACCTCCTAGTCATTTGGTGACTTGTGTCACTTCCTCAAATTCCTATTCTATTCTACAACGTAAACTAGGGGGTTGAAAAAAAATAATGATGTGAGACAATTCATACTTGCTCCTGGTTGTGCATGTTTTAGATTAATTGATTTTTTGTGGTTTTTTATCATTTTAAAAGTTTAAAAAAAAATTAATGTGTTTGAAAAGTTGCTAAAAAAATTATTCACTCTCTCTGTTTGCGTTGTTCTCTCTCTCTCTCCCACTGTGTTTGCGTTGTTCACTCTCTCACTCTCGTTTTCTCTGTTTGCGTTGTTCTCTCTCTCTCTCCCACTGTGTTTGCGTTGTTCACTCTCTCACTCTCGTTTTCTCTGTTTGCGTTGTTCTCTCTCTCTCTCCCACTGTGTTTGCGTTGTTCACTCTCTCACTCTCGTTTTCTCTGTTTGCGTTGTTCTCTCTCTCTCTCCCACTGTGTTTGCGTTGTTCACTCTCTCACTCTCGTTTTCTCTGTTTGCGTTGTTCTCTCTCTCTCTCCCACTGTGTTTGCGTTGTTCACTCTCTCACTCTCGTTTTCTCTGTTTGCGTTGTTCTCTCTCTCTCTCCCACTGTGTTTGCGTTGTTCACTCTCTCACTCTCGTTTTCTCTGTTTGCGTTGTTCTCTCTCTCTCTCCCACTGTGTTTGCGTTGTTCACTCTCTCACTCTCGTTTTCTCTGTTTGCGTTGTTCTCTCTCTCTCTCCCACTGTGTTTGCGTTGTTCACTCTCTCACTCTCGTTTTCTCTGTTTGCGTTGTTCTCTCTCTCTCTCCCACTGTGTTTGCGTTGTTCACTCTCTCACTCTCGTTTTCTCTGTCTCTCTCTCTCTCTCTCTCTCTCCCACTGTGTTTGCGTTGTTCACTCTCTCACTCTCGTTTTCTCTGTTTGCGTTGTTCTCTCTCTCTCTCCCACTGTTTGCGTTCTTTCTCTTTCTCTCTCTCTCTCTCTCTCGCTCATCACTCTGTCTCTCTCTCCTCTCTCTCTCTATCTATCTCTCACTCATTTATCTCTCTCACCACCTATCTCCTCTACCACCTTCATCACTACTACAAACGCTATTCCACCACCACTACTACTTCTACTGTCGCCACTTCACCTCTACGACTGCCATTACTACTGCCATCGCCATTACTTCATTACCACCACTACTACTACTGCCACTACTACTACCATTACCTCTCTTTCACCCCTGTCATTCCATTTACACTACCACTACCACAACTTCACTACTAATCTCTTTCACCATGACCATGACCATGACCATCACCATCATCTTTTATCCACCATCTTCACCACTATTGCCGCTCCCTTTCCTCTACCACAAAAAATTAGTTCATGATTTTTAGTAACAAAAAAAATATATATATATAGGCTGCAGAAAAATATTCTAAACTAAGATTTTTTTTTTAAAAAAAAAATTGAGGACTTAAATTTGTTAGTATTTTGTATAAATACTCTTAAACGATGGTTGATGGATATTTGTTTTGTTGTATGGACTTAAATCTGTTAGTATTTTGATGGATATTTGTTTTGTATAAATTTCTAGCAAAGGCTATGAAGCCATTTTGTTTAGTGTTTTCGCTCATTTTCGAAGCAAATGCGCAACAGCAAGTGCATATAGAAAATTGAATGCCATTATTCAATCGTCTTTTCCCATAAAATATTCTCTTGAAAATGGCCAAACCATCATTTTAGCTCTGACAATTCTTTGCACAGTAGCATTTGCCACCAAAACGTCAATTGGAACTAATTGGCAACATGCCTTGTTATTGTCGACCTCTTGTTTACTTTTATCATCGATGTTCTATGATTCGAGAATTTTATTTTTTTCATCTTGAAGAGTTCAGTTGGTACACCCTTCTCAATCTAGGGTCTTGGCCTTTTACAGCAATGAAAATGATAAAGAAAGGTGACAGGCCTTTTACAGTTTTTAAAATTTTTATAAATATAAACTGAAAACTAAAAATGGAATAGTTACCAAACAGACCATAATATTGTAATCAAGTCACAAAGTTTTGTGATATAAAATAAAAAATACATAACTGCATCACTAATTGACGTAACGAAATTGTTTAAAATTCTAGAAAATCACAAATGGCGTAACTAATTTCCAAAATTTCATAACATTAACCAAAAATTATGTAACTATCTACTAATTGGTGTAACAAAAATATCTAAATTTTTTAAATAATTTAATCACCAATCGGGATCTCTAATGATACAGATAAACACAGAATGTAATGACAATAATCAAATAATTTAATCCACGACTTATAGCCATGGAACAGAAAATGAGAGTTAGAGAAAATTAACCAATAGAGCAAAAGGAAAGGGAATATGAGTAAGAGAGACTGAACGGACTTGTCGTCTGTGAAAATAATATCAAAGACGGTGTTGTTTCCGATAAGGAACATCGGAGATATCTACAGTGACAGTAAGGAATGAGAGAGATGTTTGATAGATGAAGAGAGCTGAGATAGCAAAACAGTACAACAAAATCGTAATATTCATTTTCAACAGTTCTATAAGATATGTACAAATTGATAAAATCATAACTACGACCAAAGATTTGTATATGTATGAAAGTTTAGAGAGAATGAGAGTTTGAGAGACAACACCATCTTTGACATTATGTGAGAGGGGTGGTATTTATAGGACTTGGGAGGGAGAAGTTAATTTATATATATAAAAATAAAAAAAA